AGGAGTTAAAAACGATGAACTCGGGAGCTCAGTAGGACCATCATGGAGGCCCTCCCTTCTAAGTTCTCGAAGCATTTGTTAGAGCTCCTGTGGGAACTGGCTTCCCTCCTCCATCTTTCTGCGGGGAGTTCCTCTTCTCCTCTTTGTTTCCTGCGACAGAAAGTACAAAGTGCGCTTGCCTCGCCCTTGCACCTTCGCTTTTGAGAACTTGGAAGGGTGCAGTAGGTGAACGGGCACAAAGGTATTTTATAATTGCCTATCAGCAGGTGTAGCCGAAGCAGACTTAGTTTTCTGGCTACCTTGTTTATGAATTTGCTTTTAAAAAAAAAGTTCCATTCATTAGATCTTAGCAGTGTCAATAGCAAACCCCCAACACAGCTTATGATTTGTTCATTCATTGCATTCATGTCCAGCCTTTTCCTCCAGGGAGCTCAGGGCCAGTGTGTCCATGGTTCTCTCCTTTTCGTCTCCCACAACAACCCTGTGAGGTAGGTGAGGCTGGGAGGCCGTGATTGGCCCACGGTCACCCAATGAAGAGCTTCGCAGCTAGGTTGGGGTTTGAACCCTGGTTATCCCAGCCTGACCCTCCAGCCACTGCACCACACTAGCTTATAGCCATGAGGTTCATTGGGAGACCACAGACCAATCACCGTCTTTCTCAGCCTAACCTACCTCGCAGGGATGTTGTGGGGATAAAATGGAAAGGAAGAGAACCACGTATGCTGTTCTGAGCACTTTGGAGGACAAGGCGGGGTTTAAATAACAAATGAATGAATAATAGTGGGAAAAGGAAAGTTAGGTTAAGGCTTTCCCTTTTCCAGCACACTTTCTGACGTCCCTAGAAGGCACTCGCTTCCTCTGAGACTCGGACCAAGGAGCTAGTTAGAATAGTCTTTTGCATATACTCAGTGAGATTCTTTCTTTCTTTCTTTCAAACTTCTGTTTTCTTTGCAGAGTTAAAGTTCCCATCCTGCGCTGCTTCGCAAACCGCCTTGGAAACTCCCTTTGGTTTCCAAAGTGGTTTACTGTGTAGCTTTGCGTGTGTGTATCTGTGTGCTGTTCAACAAAATACACATTCAGAGCCCACAAAACTAGTAACATGATTTTTGAATCTTGGCTCGAGAACTTCCTTGTCTCTACTCCCCCCCCCAAAAAAATGCTGGCCGTTTCTCTTGCTCTACGTAATTCCACCCCGTAGCCAAGCTTCTGTTTATTAGCTAGCATACGAGTCTGCTCCAGTTGGCTTCTGAATTCTGTTCTCTCCCTCTTTCTTAAAAGGATTCTCCAGTTGCCAGACAAGGATGACTGTCGCTGCGACTTCTTCATTATCGCCCAGCAAATGGGCATGCTTAAAAATAGTTCATGAGCTGGTTTCACAAAAGAGGGAATTTGGGAAGACGATGGGAGGCTACCATGTTTGAGACAGAGGAAATATTGATTTCCCCCCCCCCCTCTGTTCCTCCAGGGGTTTGGATCCAACTCCAAAAGCCAGCCCTTTTCTGCCTCTTGGATCTTTCCCATCAGCCCTCTTTCCCACCCTCCTCCTCAAATCAGCTTCCTTCCTTTATTAATTGTTCTTTTGCATCTGGCCTGTATTTCCTCAATGGGTGGCCACCGCGAGATCTGTCTGTGTGTTGCACATTCCAGGACCTTGAGGCATTCGTTTTGCTAAGGCACGCAGGAGTGGGTCTGTCTTAACCCTTTTCGCCCTTTGGGCCAAAGCTCTGCACGAGACAAGCAGGCCTAACTCTTGCTCAGCGCCTCACATTCAAAGCCCACTTGCCCCTTTAGACGTGTTCAATCTTACTGGGGTGGCGTCTCATGTGCCTGCTTTTCATGTATCAAGTACCAACAACTTGAGGAGTTTTTGGGGGCTGGTCCACTGTCCCTCAGACCTTGTGGGGGGCCAGACTATATATTTTTGGGGGGGAGAGAAATGAACGAATTCCTATTCCCCACAAATAACCCAGAGATGCATTTTAAATAAAAGCACACATTCTACTCATGTAAAAACACCAGGCAGGCCCCACAAATAACCCAGAGATGCATTTTAAATAAAAGGATACGTTCCACTCATGTAAAAACATGCTGATTCTTGGACCTTCCACGGGCCGGAATGAGAAGGTGATTGGGCCAGATCCGGCCCCCGGACCTTAGTTTGCCTACCCATGGTCTACTCCCAGTCTCCAAAACACCTTGCTGTTGGCATTCTGAGCACCACCATCACCTTCCAGAAACGATGCAAAATGATTTTTATTTCTGCAGGAGCATAGGGGCTAAGCATATATAATGTTGCTTTTGCTAGGGAAGAGTTTTGGCTTGCTGGTTCCCCCACCCCCTACATATTTGCCTCCTCCACCCCCTCACTGGTTAACTTAACGCACTTCACTTTGAACCCACCTTGAGCTACTTGCTCTGTGAATCACTAGTATTGGAAAGTTGGCGTGAAACACATCTTAAAGCCACTGTTTTAATAATCGACTCCTTCCCTCAAACTGAAGGATAGGATGTTGTGGGAGGTGACCTCCTGTGGGGCGGCTGGCAGGGGAGGGGGGCTTGAAGACTTTGTGGAGCAGGAAGGTCAGTGCAGTGGCAGAATATGATGAATACAAGGCAGGGAAGAAAGAAGATCGTGATTGAAATGGCCGGACTGTTGGCCACATTCACACTGTACATTTAAAGCACTGTGATGCCACTTTAAACAGTCATGGTTTCTCCCTAAAAAATCCCAGGAGCCGTAGTTTACAAAGGTTGCTGACAGGAGACAAGGCCCAGGGCCTTCTTGGTAGTGACACCCGCCCTGTGGAACACCCTCCCATCAAATGTCAGGGAGATAAGTAACTATCCATCCTTTAGAAGACATCTGAAGGCAGCAGTGTATTGGGAAGTTTTTAATGTTTTATTATGTTTTTGTATATGTTAGCAGCCATCCAGAGTGGCTGGGGAAAACCAGTCAAGTGGGCAGGGTAGAATAATAATAATAATAATAATAATAATAATAATAATAATAATAGCTTTAAAAGTATATAGCAGAGGGGGCCTAAGTCAGAACAGGCCTGAAGTTGGAAAGTTATAGCCATGTGCTCAAGTCTTAGGGAGTGGAGAGGGAGAGAGAGAGAGAGAGAAATGCAGATGGCAATTAAAAGTTAAGAAAACCCATCATGTGCTCAGCAAGGATTTTCCACGTCATTCTTTTTTTATAAATATATAAAAAAAAACCCAGCCCAACAAAGGTAACCTAACACCAGCTGGCCGTTTTATCTTTCCTTTCTCTCGCTCAAGACTGGTCAACAGGTGTGCGAGAGTTAACTGAACACGACCAGCTCAGGAACACTCCGTTCTTTTGCAGATTAGCCAAAGGAGTCTAGGAAGGAAAGGGGGGAAGGGGGGGGTTACACACTCATTACTCAGCAGTTCTGCCGACAGCCGTCTCGCCTGTTAACTCGTCACTTGCCTGTTTAAACTTGGGAGAGCAGGGTGGGTTGGGTGGGTGGGGGAAACAGCTGCTAGTGTCTAAATGCGACTCATCCACAAAAAATAATAAATCAAGGTCACAGCCTCGCACCTCCTAAAATGGCCCTTTCAAAACGGAAAAAAAGGAGTGAAGATGTGAGTGGGGGATGTTTCAAGAGCAAAATGAGAACTAGTTTAGGGTAGTGGCAACAGAGAATTTTGAGTAGTTGAGCCGTGAAGTCCATGCATGGAATCTCATGCTTCCCACTACCCCGGCCACTGCCCATGCGAATGCTCAGTAAGGCAAGGCAGCTAATGGTGGTCTGATAAGTTTAGGAAAAGAAGAAGCTGCCTTAGATCTAGACTCAGATCAACAAGTCCACCTCACTCTGTATTTTTTAAACCTGTGTTTCTCAAACTTTTAAAACCATTGCCTCTTTTTAACTAACATGGAAATCGTACACATCCCTTCAAACCCTGATTATTCGAATTTTCAAACGGATTGAAATTTCGTGACCTTGAATTATATTGCACATATTTTTTGGAAACACCCAGCCCCAGCCGCACCCCTGTTGAGAAACACTGATTGGCCACAGCTCTCCAGGTTTGTAGACAGTGGCTATCTCCCAGCCCTGCCTGGAGAGGCCAGGGATTGAACCTGGGTCTGCAAAGCAAGCTTCCTATCATAGCAGAGGTCTGGTTTAAATATTCAGATCTAATGGGACCTTTGTTGCCACATTGCACCAGATCTCACCAGCTGCCTGTTACCTGGTGGCGTTGCCTGCATACTGACTAGCCGATGTGTTCTATGCTGTGGCAAGTATCTTAAAGAACCAGGTGCCTCACTCCTTCCACCCAGGGTGGCCTGAAGTTTGTGCTTTGCAACCAGCAGCCTCTATTTGATACTGGGCGAGTAGAGCTCCAAGAGCAATTCTTAGCAAGGAGGTGGTGGGATAGCTTACTATCTAATTTCCAGGAATGAGAGCGGGAGTCTGTCCATATATGCCAGTCCTTGGGCATAGCCAAAGTCACTCTTTGGTTGCACATGCCAGTTTTAAGCAGGGAGGGCGCACAGGACCTGAACCAGGGGGTGGCGGAGAGCTGGAAAATGTGGGGTGGGATAGTCACACCCACAGATGCAGCCCCGATAAAAAGGCTGGGTCCAGAAAACCCTTTTCCTCTCTCCTTTGCCCCACGCTTCCTTTCATTGTCTCTCAGTTTGGTCTGCGTGAGTCGTAATTTTTGTCAATCAAACCCTTTTTTTGACTCGCCTCGAGTGCCAGGCCTTGTGGCCCTGGGCGGGACGGAGCACCAGGCAGGCATCAGTTGAAGGGGGAGTGGGCGTTGCTTGTTGGTTCCATCGTTTTTTGAGGAGTTGAGGGGAAGCTCCTTTTTGACTCTGGCCATCACTGCTGCAATTGCTGCCGTAGGAACATAGGAATCTGCTAACTAATCCTGGGTCAGACTGTTCGCCCCTTTAGCTCAGTATTTGCCTGCACGGACTGGCAGCTGCCCTCCTGGGTTTCAAGCAGGGCTCTCTCCTTACTTGGCAATGCTGGGGATTGAACCCGGGACCTTCTGCACTCAAAGCAGGTGCTCTGCCATTGAGCCACAGTCCTTCCCCATCAGACACCCCCATCAGCTGCCTTTTTCTCCATCTCTAGTGCTTCCCTGGAAAGCCCACCCCCCATGCATAGTTGAAATAATATTTTCACAGTCTTTCTTTCTTTCTTTCTTTCTTTCTTTCTTTCTTTCTTTCTTTCTTTCTTTCTTATTCCCTACTTCTATCCTTGAATCTGTTTTGGTGGAACCGTTTCCAAAATAAAAAGATCCAATGAGGGAGGAATCGTGCTTGGAAAATTTAAACAGACTTTTATTACACCCCTTTATTCATACGTTGGGAATTGACATTTCTGTTTGAAATACTGTAACCCATTCATTATAATCCTCATTGCAATCTAAGAGCCAGTTTATACAATGGGGGCACAATGACACCCATAGCAGGGGATGGGAGCTGAGAACTATATTGGGTTGTTTCCCTGCCCTTAAAGGAAAGAGAACGAGATTGCAATCCTCTGTTAGCCTTACTTGGGAGTAAGCCTCACTGAAATCAGAGGAGGGGTTACTTCTGGAGAAGGCGTGTATGTGACACAGCACACATACATATGAAACAGCTGTAAACCAGCGTGTCCAAATAGCTCAGTTGGTAAAGCATTAGACCCTTAATCTCAAGGTCGTGAGTTCGAGCCCCGCGTGGGGCAAAAGATTCCTGCATCTTAAATTCTATGATTCGAGACAATGCCCAACTGCGTTTCTCACCATGTGGATGGAGAGATTTAGATGGCTTTGATTGGACAAATTCAGGGAGGAGAAGGCTATCCGCGGCCGCCAGCCATACTGCCTGCGTTCTCCATTGCCTCTGAATGGCATCTGCTGGGAATTGCATGTGGGGAGAGCGCTATTGCGCTCAAGTCGCGCTTGCAGGCTTCTGACAGGCATCCAGGTGTCTATTGTGAGGCCAGGATGCTGGACTAGACGGGCCGTTAGCTCGATCCATCAGGCTGTTCTTACATTCCTGTCCTAGAGCCATGTGATTCAGGTATTCGTGGGTAAAACCAGAAGATGCTTCTTTGGCTGGGTCAATCATGGAGCATCCTTTTGTTATTTCCATTATCGCAATCATCACCGTGCAGAGGGGTTCTTCTTGTTCTTTTAATGAAGCAACATGTTCTGTTTATAGAGTTGGGCTGGGTGTGTTAACTCTGTGGGCAAAACATTTGCCAGCAGCTGCTGCCTTCGCCTCCCAATCTATGCCCACATGAACGGGCTTGCCTTGAATGACAGGCCTGTTTGCACCCGGTCCAGGTGATATAGCTGGGGGGTGCGAAGGCAGACAGGAAGTCAAAAGCAAACCTTTAAAATGCTGCCACTGGAAAGTTGGGTGTTGTGCAGAGCATGTTACATAAGGGATCAGGATCCAGTCCCTAGCATGGCTGCTGTGGAACTCCTGTCCGTACGGTCGGTTCACATGGGCTGGGCTACTGGATTGGCTTGTCTTCCATGAGCTGTGTGTGCCCCATAATGTCCCCCACCCACCTCAAGTTCCACTGCCGATTTCACGAAAAGCACAGGTTGCAGGAAGGCAAAGCTCTCTCTTTGGCGGAAAGAGGACATTGTTCAGCGGGAGACCACCTGCTTTTCATTCAGACGGGTTCCCCTGTTGGATCACTGGCTTCCCCAGTTTAAAAGGATCAGAAAAACAAGGTCCTTCTTTATCTGCACATTAACGGGGTAGGCTGGATCCTCGGCTCAACTTGGCACAACATAACTCCTATGCTCCTGGTTTTTGTTGGGCGGGGGTCTTTATAAGCCACTCTTCCTCCGAAGGAATTCCAGGTTATGTACAACAAACATCCAAACATTCTAACACAAACACCATAGCTCAGGGAGTAGAGCATGTGCTTTGTGTGTAGAAGGTCCCGGGTTTAATCCCTAATGGCATTTCCAGGCGGGGCTGGGAATGTCCTTCTGAATCCCTGGGGAGCTGCTGCCAGGGATGGACCAATGGTGTAACTCGGAGTAAAGGCAACTTCGTATGTTGTCTTATTGAGAAATCCCCTGGTAAGGTTCTGAGGAGCACCAGTTTTTTCATAGAACACCATTCAGAGATCCCCAACTCAGCTCTTTGCAGGGTAAGCAAGCTGGTATGTTTAGCAGCACGCCCCTCTTTCCCCCTATTTGTTCAAAGCACCTTAACAGGTGGGGGGGGTGTTTAAGGCTTCAAATACTCACTAAATAAATGGAAACACAACATAATCATTTCACGTTGATTTTTGTTTTTTTAAGACCACATTTCGAGAACCACGATGCGGAGGAGAAAATGCATCACTGTGGTTCTGTGAAGTCTTGCTCAAGAGCTAGCAGAGGAGCTCTTGTTGTCTACGCAGGAACGAAAAGTGGTGAATAAGAAAAAATACAGGCTGTAGCATATAAATTCCACTCGGCTGTGCAAAGGTCTTAAGGAGGGGGGCTTGTGGGAATGGAAGAACCTTCTCTGGCTGGCGGGAGGGTGGGGTGTCGTTTTTCTTGCATGACGCTCTTGCCAGTCGGCAGCACCCGCACCTGTGAACAAAAAGCTTCTCGCATAGCAGCACTGCTGACTCTGACCCCCATAGTACACAGTGCCCAGGTAGAAGTAAGAACTGGGACTCCTGAATCCAGACTCAGTAGCTCCTTCTCCTGCAAATCTGCTTCCACCTATTCTTCTCTCCAACTCTGCCACTCTTTTACTCATACCCAGCTTTTTCCTCAACTGTCCGGGATGGGGAGCCTATAGCCCTCCAGATGTTGTTGGACTACAACTCCCATTATCCCTGAGCATTGTCCGTGCTGGCTAGAGCTGATAGGATTGGGAGTCCCTATGTCATATGGCCAGCATGGTGTAGTGGTTAAGAGCGGTGGACTCGTAATCTGGGGAACCGGGTTCGCTTCCCCGCTCCTCCACCTGCAGCTGCTGGGTGACCTTGGGCTAGTCACACTTCTCTGAAGTCTCTCAGCCCCACTCACCTCACAGAGTGTTTGTTGTTGGGGAGGAAGGGAAAGGAGATTGTTAGCCGCGTTGAGACTCCTTAGGGTAGTGATAAAGCGGGATATCAAGTCCAAACTCTTCTTGTTGTTCTTCTTCTTCTTCCACTTCTTTTTTCCCCTTTTGAGATAGATCAGGCATCCCCAAACTCTGCCCTCCATATGTTTTTAGACTACAGTTCCCATCATCCCTGACCACTGGTCCTGTTAGCTAGGGATGATGAGAGTTGTAGTCCCAAAACATCTGGAGGGCCAAGTTTGGGGATGCTTGAGATAGATAGATAGATAGATAGATAGATAGATAGATAGGCAGTGTTGAGCTCCGTGGACCTGATGGTCTGACTTAATTTAAGCCAGCATCCTTTATTCCTACCGAAGGATCCTTCCTCCTCTTCAAAGACAGCACTTTTAGAAACTACATTTTGTTAAGGAATTAATGTGATTGTTCCACCACGGTCCCCGATTTTTGAGCACTTGATGATTTAGTTTTGATCCTGCTAATTCAAAGCCTTCATGTGGGAAACAGCTAGACTAGGGAAGAAGAGAAGCTTTTCATACATTGTAAATGTGAGCTTGTGAATCGGTCCTTATTTCAACATCCTATTTTTTATTTTTATTTTGAGGGTGCCTATTCCCAGCACAGCTCTTGTGATCTGATGATTAATCCAATGAAGTAATAACTAATCATTTAACTGTTCCCGGCCGGTTCATGCTTAGTGGCAGGAAGCCCTTTTCTAAGCCGACGAACAGTCATCCTTTTGCTAGGAATAAGGTTGAGCAAATAAGTTTATTTTTAAAAAATCATTACAATAGAGAAAATTAATCGCAGTAATCAGGAGGAAAGGAGAAGAAAGTCTAAATTCTTTAAAATGGGGGAAATAATGTTTTGCCCGTAAGTAACTTTAAAATCTCATATATAGATATATTTATGTCTCTTAAAATCTGTCAGGGATTACTAAAGTGTTACTGGATTGTTGCTTTCTTTAAAAAAAAAAAACTTTCCCAAAGTGAATCTTCTTTTAACCTCTTTGCCTTTTTTTGAAAATGGGATAAAAGTTGTGAAACTGACTGTTTATAGCATCTGAGAAATGAAACTGTGAAAGCTCTTTTTGATTACTGCAGGTGGGATTTTGGCTTGTGTCTTTAAGCCAAGTAAAATTTTCTCATTAAGGAAATCAAAGCTAGAAAATCCAAAAAAACCAATGTTCCAAATAATTTCAAAAGGTCTTTACTTCTGAAGCTCTATTTATTCACCTAATGTTTTCTACTCTAGTACTAATTAGAATCTCTGAATCTTCAGACCATAACATGTTAGTAGTACTGCAGTATTCTTCTTTGATTATATATATGTTTAAAGTTCATAAACAAAAAAATGCAGAATGAAATAGAGACAATCTCTGAGTGTTTGATAAATGAAATAATTACTATTAATGCATAACCATTTGATTTATTTGATTTTAGCCCACTTGTTCACAGACTTTAAAAACTCCTAGCTGTTGCTTAGAATTTGATATAGGTTATGTACTCTTCCTAGAATATCTGAAAACTTTAAAGAAGTAATACTAACAAAACAAAACATAGAAAACAGTTTAAATTTTGCTAAGAACTGGTGTTCAGATTCACTAGGGCAAACTTGATTTTCTTTTTAACCAAGCGTTTTTGATCCCTTTTATAAATGAGGAACTTGGAAATAAAACTCATGTGCCCCTTTAATTCATTCTTTGATGTATAGATAGCTGTCCATTACCTTTATCTTGAACATGTTTCCATGGGGCTAATTCACCTTAAAATCCATGGTTCTTAGCACCTTAGAAAATGCTTTTAGGATTGAGGTACCCTTTATCATAGGCTTTTCTCCAAATGTGGAAAACTTAGAAGTGCAATTCTTCTTTTTTAAACAATCTCCTTTCTTTTGCACATCCTCAGACTATTTTTTTTTTAGGTCTTTTCAGTGTTGTTCCCCAAATTGCTTTCTCCTCTTTGCCAAAAAGGTTATAACATGAGTTGTGTGGAAGTCAAACAGAAATCCAGCCTGATTTTACTGCACTGTAGCTCATACCTATTTGGGTTTAATATCCAATAAATGTGGCGTTTTACTGTACAACCAAACTGGGGGGAAACTCCTCAGAAACCACCTCCCCTCAAAAAAATTATTATTATTTTGCAAATGTTTCAGTAACGCAGTGTGCTTTGTGCAATCGTTGGGGCGAAATGGGAACTGAAAACTTAATGCTCAGATCTACCATGGTAGCAACAAACAGAATAGGGAGACTTCTTATGAAATCGCAGTGCAGATGGACATACTCTTCTTAGTTCACTTCTCCTTTCTTTTCTTTTTTTTTCCTTCCCCCACCCCACCTCCCCTTCCTTTATATATATATAAATATATATGCTTCCAAGTCAGCAAAGGGGTAATAATACGCATGGAAGCCCCTCTCTCCCCAGTCGCACATAACCTGTGTGTGAAAAGAAAGACAAACTGCAGTTTCCCACATCTAGCAGCTATGGTGGTGGCCCGAATCCAGAAGATTCAGATCTCCTAAATGCAGAAATCTTCCACCTTCCTGCTAGGAAGGGGCTTTCCCTGTCTTTGTTCCCAGCGATTTAATAATGGGGAGCTGTGTCTGCTGCTATGTGCCTTAATTATAAACTGGGGTTTAAAACATACTTTTTTAGAGGGCACCAAATAGAGTATCTCCCTTTGAATCATGGATCTCTACCCGTCCCCAAAACTGGCATTTTTTGGGCAATAAGAAGTGGCTTTCCCTCTCCCAAGACACACTCTGGATCTTTGCTTCCCCCAGCTATTTATATATTATCAATTAATCACTCTCAGCAATGGCTGTTTGAGTGGTCCCTTCTAAATGGTACCAAGCTTTTGCCAAAAGGAGTTGCATATTCTCCTCTTTTTTGGGATACGTAAACACTCACACACCTTATAATTTTTAGCCAGAAGGGCAGAACACGTAATTAAACTTTGTTGTTGCTGCTGCTGCTCAAAATAATTCATAACTTCGAGCTAAATTTGATTGACAGCTAATTCTTTTAAAGCATGCAATTAATTTCCCCCTTCTTTAGCTCGTTTTCACAATGCGTTATGAAATCAACAAATCATCTCCCCACCCCTTGAAAATTTCTTGCCAGCAAAATCTAGCCGTTGAAAACCATTAATATAAATGCACAACTTGAGGGATGAATGCACCATTCATGCACAAAATGCTAAAAGTCTTTGTCCTCAGATTGCACCAATGCAAGTATATTCCATATTGGCATCTGTAGATAATAGACACTGAAAATGCCTTCCTGGAACAAACCAGAATTTTATCAGCACCCAGGTCTTTTCTGTTAAAAAATAATAAATTAAAATGTACTGTGTAATAAAACTGCTAATTCCTGAAAGTTTTCCAGCTGTTTTGGGGGAAGAGTGATTTGCTGACAAGGCTGTCTTTCAAACCTAATGAACACATTTTATTTTATTTTATAATACTTGCCCTTATCTATATCTTTATATCTAGGACCCTCAAAATTTCTGTGAATTTAAGTTGTTTTACACAGTTTTCATATTGGGTTTTAATTGTTGTAACCATGGGATCTTAGGATGAAGGGCAGATAATAAATTATAATCACTATATATCTATAATCTTAAACCAAGCACTCACAAAGACTAGGTAAGTTGAAGCAAGATTTACATCTATGGTTCATTTAATAAGAAATTCCCATATTTTAGACTCAACTTACAACGAATGTATGACAGCTGGTTTATCTTCAATCTAAAGCTGATGGAAATGGTAGTATGTATGTGTAACATATTCCCTTTAGTTCTAGTGAGCTGTAAATAAGCTTTGAATAGGCAGAAATGTTTGAGCTTTGTGCAAAAACTCCTTTTTCTTTTTATTAGGACCTATTTTTGCTTTTGAATTTTTATGTTAAAAAATCCAGGCATTTGAACTGCACTGAATTATATATGAAACAGGGGAAAGGCTGTTGTTTTCTGTATATATTATTTTTCTTATTTATTCACTGTATTTACAATAATATTTATAAACTGCCAACTCATATTTTTTATGTTCAGAATAATCATTAAATTATAATTCATAAAATAGATCTCAGTATGGGTGAATATATATATATATGTTTTTAAGGAGTTAAATGTGTCCTCATAATTACCTTCCTTATAAAGTTTGTCTTATCAGGCCTTTAAAAAATTTTTTAAAAAGTCTTTAAATTAGCAGGCAAAACCTCTTTTTTAAACCATTTTAGAGAATGCATTTTAAATGTCACCTAAAAGTAATAATTTAAATTGCTGTTTAATTAGCTAAAAAACCTGCAATCTAATATTTTTTATATTGCATTTTTCAAGCCAAGGTGAAACTTTGAAACTGGTTTTTGTCCAACCGACTTTCTAATCAGAGTCAAATGATGTGTATATTTTCTGGGACGAGTGCATTTTGTAAAAGCAGTTTTGCCACCCTAAAGTATAACATCTGTGGAAAATCTTTATTACCAGATTTATTTAAAAGAAGACTCACTCATAATTTTTATATTTGCACCAGCCTTTAACATAAAATATTGTATTATAACTATCTTTGTTCGAAACTAACATGATCCATTCAGACTCATTTTCATACTTTGTCATATTTCTGTACCTCTATATAAAATTCATAGGTTTGGGAATGTCCATACTTTTAACGTAAGATGGTTTGGAAAATTTTGCCACAGGACCTTTCCATGAACGTGCTCCTTTCTTTTGCATTGTATACAATATATTATTGTATTGCAGTACTAGATATTTGTAAGAATATAGTTGGGAACTTGGGGTGGGGGTGTAGATTAAAAAATAAATAAAGTAAAACATGAGTCCTGTAACCGTTGGTTGCTTCAGAAGTTCCCCAAAGCTGAGCTTCTATAAAGGCAAATGAGATGTAGGATCGCTGAGTGGCATGCCTATTGTAACTCGGATAGAAGGTTTAAGGGCTGCTGCCTTATTTAATTGGTCAGCAGATAGATAAATCTTCCCATAACCTGAATTTAAAGTCCGGTCCTACTCTTGGGATTAAGCTACTTTAGGTTTCCATTTAGCAGAGGTCACCAACCTTCCTGAACCAATGGGCACGTCAGGAATTTTGAGAGGATGCTGTGGTCTCCATTCACAAAATGGCTGCTTTGGGTGGCATATCACAAAACGGCCGCCGTCAGAGCATGGCGCGACGCAATATGGCTCCCACCCCGGAACGAGCAGAGAAAAAGGCAGGATCACAAAACGATCGGCCAACCCATCGATGGGAGAAACAGCACCTCCGTCTGCGACTGCCATGTTGGCTTTGCAGAGAGACCCCTTTTGCACCTCTCCTCTGTTCAGCATGGATGGAGTAAGGTGTCCAGTCTTGGCACCCATTGAAAAGCAGGCGTGAGGGTGGGTTCAGTGTTAGAAGAGGCTGAATCCTGTGCAAACAGGAACTGAGCAGGAATGGCAGTCATTGGGGCACGCCGGATTTTGGGGAGGTGGCTGCTGAGAGCTTTTGCAGGCTCCATAGACATTGTATTGGCAACCATACTGGTGGGCACCATACGCATTGTATGGGCAACCCATGCCATATACCTTAGAAGCTGCCTCTTGTTTGATGTCCCAACACCCATTTGAGGATGTTTTCCTCCTCTTGCGATCAGTGTTCCATCTCTGAACAGCAAGGGTGTTCCTGGTACAGGTTTTGCTACTCTGAAGTGCTCAGCCTTTTGGGGTAAGCTCTCCCCATCAAGGATAACGTCCATCGCTTAAGGAGTTGGAGGGCTGATGATGACCTGATGACAACCGGTGGCTAAACGTGCCTTTCACTAGCTTAGATTGCCTTAACAAATGGTGGTTCCCTGGCCATCCTGAGACCAGGTCTGCCCTTGGGTCTGGCTCAGGAGCGTCATTGGGTGGGGACATCCGGCCGGCAACATGTGGCGCCATTGTCAAAACATCTGCCCTGGCTCCCCACCCGTGACTGAGTCAGACTCTGAAAGTGCTTGTATAAATCTACAAAGCCCCTGAACAACTTGGGCCCAGGGTGCCTCAGGGACCAGCTGAGCCCTTATATCTCAGCTTGATCACTGAGAGCCTCTGCAGGCGTGTCATTGGCTGTCCCCAGAGCTGACGTGTAGCTCATTTGACATCAGCATGAAATAGAGATTTTGGTATCATCGACCCAGGCCTGCCAACAGAGACTCAGCAGGTGCCTTCTGTTTCAGCTATGAAATGCCTACTGAAAACTTTCCTATTCTGCCAGGCTTATTCAGGAAATTAAGAGTACAGTGGTACCTCGGGTTAAGTACTTAATTTGTTCTGGAGGTCCGTACTTAACCTGAAACTGTTCTTAACCTGAAGCACCACTTTAGCTAATGGGGCCGCCTGCTGCTGCCACGCCACTGGAGCACAATTTCTGTTCTCATCCTGAAGCAAAGTTCTTAACCTGAAGCAATATTTCTGGGTTAACGGAGTGTGTAACCTGAAGCGTATGTAACCTGAAGTGTATGTAACCCGAGGTACCACTGTACATCTTTCCATAATTGTAAACCTGGGTTGCGAATACAGTGGATACTTGGGTTGCGAATGTGATCCATGCGGGAGACACGCGCGGGTTGTGATTTGGCGCTTCTGCGCATGCGCGACCGCCGAAACCTGGAAGTAACCCATTCCGGTACTTCTGGGTTTCGGCACGTCCATAACCCGAAAAAATGCAACCTGAAGCGTCTGTAACCCGAGGTATGACTGTACATACACACACACACACATATTATATATATATAAATACAGTAAAGGAGTGTGCGTTAACAGGACTTTCTTGGCTATGCTCCCTCTTCTAAGGAATTACCTCCCCGGTGAAGCCCCTCAGGCTGACTCTTTCCTCATTGAAAAATGAGTTTAAACCTCCTTCTGTATCACCAGTCGTTAGTTTCCCTTCTGCTGCTGTGTTGCTGGCTGGTTGTAGTTTTTAGTGGGTTTTATTTGCTTGTTTAAACATGAAGTTGTTTTATCCAAATTTATGACCGTTCTAATTGCTTTTAGTGACTTGATGACTTTAAGCAACTTGCGCTCTTGTCAGCTGCCCTTCCATTGGTTATAAATACAATAACATAAGTTACATATTTGCATCTTCCAGAGGCCATGTTTCAAAAAAAAATGTTCTGTTTGGGATTAATAAGGGTTTCTTTTTATCCCACATTTGTTAAAAATTGTGTGTGTGTGTTACATATTTATTTAATATCATGGCAAAAATACAGCTTACATAAGTTCTTTTTTATTGTCATGTCATTTGCAGTAATGTGATGTCTTCAGCCCAGATCTTGAGCCCTTTAATTTGAATCAGGTGGCGTTTCTTTCTTGCTCTGTTAAATCTGCCAACATGAGATTTCACGTTCCGCGTTTGTAAGAAATCAGTCTTTTAGTGTGGCAGCCCCAACACTGTGGAACTCACTGCCTATTGACATCAGGCAGGATCTCATCATCACCTTCTAAAAACAGTAACCTATCCAGACATGTAGGCACATGTTTCAATCTCGTGGTTAGCTTATCGTTGATTTAAATTATTTTAGTTACATGTAGGTAGCTGTGTGGGTCTGCCGTAGTCGAAACAAAATAAAAAATTCTTTCCAGTAGCACCTTAGAGACCAGTTACCGTAAGTTTGTTAAAGCTCATACCAATAACAAACTTAGTTGGTCTCTAAGGTGCTACTGGAAGGATTTTTATTATTATTTTGTTTAAATTATTTTGTGTGTGCTTTAAATAGCTGTGTTTAACTTTTTCCCTGATGGTTGCATTGTTTTATTCTTTCTGTAAACTGCTTCAATGTTTTGTTTACCATTAAATGGTATATACATTTTATGATTATTATTTTTTAAAGGGTGGGGGAAACCAGCTCATTGCTATTTCCTCTGACAATGGCTCCCCAATATTTTGGGCAGGTCCATTTTTTTCCTGTCCTTGGTACTTAACATTCCTTTAACCAGAAAGTGCCAAGGGATAATAAAGGCTGGTCCTTTCTGCGTGCCAAGCATATGTCCTGCCACCAAACCACAGCCAGGAGCTATTCGCATTTTGAGTGGGGCTCAGTGCCTACGGTGGGGCTGTGGAGGGCTTTTTTATGGAAAAACCCTAGCTTGTAACCCTTCCCTTCCGGAAAAGAAAGCCATGTTCACACCTTTGCTAATTGCAGTTAATTGTGTTTTTATGATTCTCTAAAGACTTAATGGCAGTGATGCCAACTCCAGCTCAGGTGTGGGGGAGAGAGAGATCCCGAGGGAGGTGTCTCCCTCCCCTTGAGTGATGAACGTTACCTGTCTGTGTCACAAAAGTTCGAAAGGGTCACTCTAGCAGGAAGAGCTGCAAATGAGCATCTGGGATTGTTCAGCGTTTTCAATCTGAATCAGCCCGCCGGATGTCTGGTTCACCAGTGTGTCAGTTTTATGTCCTCTTTCTCGCTTCATAAAGGCTTTTTTTTTTTAATTATTAAACACACTTGCACAATGCAGGGTGGGAAGGGAGATGTGAGAAAGGCTGTGCAATCCTGTGGGCTTGGAAAAATAAACTCCCCAGCCCTGGTTGATTATTTCCTCCCTCTTTCCCCATCTCTAGTTACTTAATTTGTTGTTTTCTTCGTTCACAGGACTTTGCCTCCCGTGCTAAGCTGGCAGTCCAGAACCTTGTGCAGAAAGTTGGCTTTTTTGGAATCCTGGCATGTGCTTCAGTAAGTCCTTATTCCTTCTATCCAATAAATGTATGGATGGGTTTAAATTGTCCCGTTCCACCTTCCACGCCCAGCTTTCACTACCCGTTCCACCTTTCCCAGCAAGGAACTCACAGCTGTCTTATGTGCTTTTCTTTGATATTCATCACATCGTCATATTCTAATCCTTCTTTTCAGACAAAGATTGCCCTTCAAAGTGGGTCTTAACAATTTTAAAAAATCAAAATAAGGAGATGAAGGGCAGAATCTGAGATTTTAAAACTTAATAAAAAGAGAACACACACTTGACAAGGAGTGAAGGATCAAGGCAGAGAAGGGTGGTTGGTTTGATGATGCCCAAGCAATAGGCCAAGCTGAAAGCAAGCATTTTATATTAAACCCCTGAGGTTGCACAGGGATGTGCAGGCAGTGGATAAAGACCATGGGCTTGAAAGGACTTGCAGATGGAAAATGTGCTTACAAGGTGAAAAAAAAAATAATTAGGAAATATGAGCCTCAGTAATAATGAGCATGTACAGAGTGCACCTCCCCTGCCAGTGAGGAACCGCTGTATTTAATGAGATGTTATTTTTTACATTTTATACTTCCTGGTCATGGTGATTGATGGGGAATAAATGTTGGTTACATTTTGATATTTCTTGACTCTTGTTTTCATTTACGTTCCGAAGAGTTTGGATTGGGGTCGATGACAGCTCATGGAGGGACCAGTGAACTCGGGAGTTTGGGGAACCCTGAGTTAAGGCCATTGCTGGTGCGTCTTAGACAGAGGTGTTGCAATGGGCCCTGAAGCCCTTGTCCCTCAGCCAGGCGTCAAAGGCTAGATTGTGCCTCCCTTCCTTTCCTTTCCAGAGCCTGGTGGCAATTGCTAGTTGGAATCAGAGCATCCTTTTTCCCTGTTGAAGGGCCTCCTCTATTTCTTTTCGACAATTATTCCCTTTTCTCATAGGCTATCATTGGCTGCTTACCACAACGGCTATATTCTGCCTCTTCGGTTGGAAGCAACCTACCGCTGAGAGTCACAAATGGGAATAAATGTCACAGCCTGCAAGCTTCTCTGAAGAAGCATTTGGTTGGCCACCGTGAGAACAGGAAGCGAGACTAGATGGGCCACCTGACCTGGTCCAGCAGCCAGAACATCTTCTGATGTTCTTACCTTTTTCATGCTCTAGCAGGTTGCTTCTGGGTGCCAGTCTGGCCTTGTTAGCCAAGGCTTCCCTTCCCCGCTTTGTTGGGTCGGGTACCGCAATCAAGGAATGCCCCGTGTGATTTGTTTAGTTGCGAGTTTTGGTCCAAGTCCGAACAGATGTGTTGTGTTGTCGGACTTGACTGTGAACAGCCAGTAGATTTTGTGGTGGTCTGGACTGACAGTGCGGAGAAAGTTATGAAAGTCCTGGTGGGACGTCACGTCCTGTCTAGGAGTCCAGATGAAAAAGAGGTGTCAACAGTGTTATCTCAGATAAAAAGAGAAGCTTTTGGGAAGCATTGTAGTTGAGAAAGCTTCATTCTAAGTGAGCCATGATGATGTTGGCATAATTTGCAGCCCATAGCAGTACACCGATCTGAACGTCCATGCTCTTCCCCAAAACTAAAGTAATTGTGGTTAGTTTTGAGGTTCTTATATTAATTTACTAGGTGCTGAACAGCTTGAGTCCAGGATAACTTAAGGATTGCTTATATCCCAGCCCAGTCACTGGGGTCTTCAGGGAAGTGACTGTTAGTGGTCTCTTGCGGCTCAGAAAACACGTTTCATATTTGTTGTTGTTGTTACTCAGACACACATTTCTGTTTATTTATATTGAATGTGTATACTGCCCAGCTGAGATCAGATGTTAAGTAGTTTTCTCAGAACTTCTGTGGTGTCCTGTAGGTAACTTGGTTTGGGAAATGGAGTCTATATAGCCAAATGTGTTAAAAACAATAACTCATACCTTCACACAGCAGACAATGCCATTAAATTAGAATTAAAATGGCACCACCCATGCTTAGTATTTTGTCAAAAGAACCAGAGTTATTTGTCCTTAATTGCTCCATTCCCAAGATGGTCTTTAGAGTGGTTTACAGCTTTCTTGGTTATGGATACATACGGTATCATGTTAACCGAATTAGTTGCAAAGTTTGTGTTCCGAGCTATAAAAGAGACATAAGCAACTTTTACAGAATTGTTAAAAGTGTACTGGTTTTGATTTTGTCCTAACCGTGTTTAAATTCTTAACAATTAAGCCTGTACTGTTGGTGAACTGCCTTGTATTTCTGAATTTCTTTCCCCAACATTGTTTGGAGTTACATATTTATTTAATTTTTTTAAAAAATTGGGATGCCTGTGGATTGTCAATAAGCAAGGACTTCATCTCGGTCCCCGTCCTGAAATCATCCCCAAAGGGCACAGTCTTGCAGGTCCAGTTGGCAATTGCTTGCTGTGTGTATATCTTGTTAGCGCACTGCATTGCGACATCTACCCAACCAGAAGGCTTTTTGGGTTTTTTTATGACAGCCTTACGTTACAGAAGTGCATGAAACGACCAGTGGTGAGGAATAATAATAATAATAATAATAATAATAATAATAATAATAATTTTTATTTATACCCTGCCCATCTGGCTGGGCTTCCCCAGCCACTCTGGGCAGCTTCCAAAAAAATATTAAAATACTGTAATACATCAAACATTAAAAGCTTCCCTAAACAGGGCTGCTTTCAGATGTCTTCTAAAAGCCTGGTAGTTGTTGTTCTCTTTGACATCTGGTGGGAGGGCGTTCCACAGGGAGGGCGCCACTACCGAGAAGGCCCTCTGCCTGGTTCCCTGTAACTTGACTTCTCGCAGTGAGGGAACCGCCAGAAGGCTCTTGGTGCTGGACCTCAGTGTCCGGGCAGAACGATGGGGGTGGAGGCACTCCTTCAGATATACTGGATACTTCAGATATACTGGATACTTCTGATATCTGGATACAGATATACTGGAACTTGTGTCTCTCTAGATGTTACTAAACTATGACTCCCAGCATCCCTGACCATGGGCCATTCTTGCTAGGGCTGGGGGGGAGTTGCAGTTCTGCAACCCTCTAAAGGGCCAAAGCTCCCCCCCAAAAACCCTGACTTAAATAAACTCGTCCCAAGACATAGAGGACTTTGTATATCATTAGTAACACCTTGAATCAGTACACCCCGAGCGTAAATTCTTGATTTCCTAATAAAACAGCAGTATGAGGAAGTCGATTCATTTGTAAATTAACCTTACAACTTTTTATAACATTGGGTTGTGATAGAATAATCTCTGTTCAGGGTTATGATAGAAATAGTTGGAGGGCAAAAAATAGAAACCTTTCTGTGCTTGTTTTGGTCTTTCAGCTGGCTAAACCCGTTTTATTTTGATTTTACTTAATTTATGTTTCTGTGTTTTCTGTTTCGTCTTAAGATCTCTTTGTTTTATTTTTGGGGAACCGTGCCATTCAGATTCCCAGGATGACACCGACTTAACAGCATTTTGGAGCAGATTTGGAAGCATACACATTAAAGCCTACAGAAATGTACTTTAGAAAGCTTTTCGGCCTGATCCATGTCTAGCAGCTCATTTGAGTCACTCAGTTCAAGCCTTCATTGCATTAGAGATGCTGGATCTGACTCACCAGCTTTCAGTCACCCTCACATGAGGCATCTTTGAATAAGGGGACTTGAGCTGAAGTAAGCTCAATATAACTGGAAATCATGGGGTGGGAGGGAGAGAAAGAGATTTAAACTGCCCTTGTCTGCCTCCATTTTTCCTTTTTTCTGTGTGCTTGTTAAATTATCTGCTAACTCATGGCCTGCTTTGGTAAAAAATTTCCCCCCTTCATTATGACATTATGTTGCCCCTGTGGGCTTTTAAAAGTTTAATGTGCCGTAAGATGTTTTATAGGAAGCTATTAATTGATGGAACGAAATAAATAAATGTAGTAATTAAGCAGCAGCCATTTTCTCCCTCTTTTTTTGTGAGATGCCTTTGGTGTGGAAGGGCACCTA